TACTATATATCATCACTCTTCATTAATTAACTTCTTAGTTAATGAGTATCATTGTTCTAATTGATTCGGTTTGCTACTTGTAAGTTATTATGATGGTACAGGCTAGAAAAGAGCAGAAGTAACATGCAACTTTGTATAAGCATATGTGAATAAAATTAGGTTTAGTAGTTCTGAATATATTAGGTAACGCATAACCGAGGATGCGATGATATATGGTTAGGATTTCTCACATTTTTAATAAGAGATTTCAGGTTTAAACTTGAGAATGAAGAACTTTTTGAGAAAGTGCTCCCTTCCCCACACCCCCTTTCTCCTCCTTTAGTAAGCCTATTCAGCCCGAAACAAAATTAATTGGATCGATGAATTTTGAATATCAAATAGTTAAACGCGAAAAAAAATGATTAATTGCTGGTGATGTATAGGGGGAAAAGGCCCTTTTTAGGTAACACTATAATCATCAGGGAAGTGGTTTGCCTTCATAATTTGGGAGCTATGCACAATTGTTTGGTTAGACTTAAAGATGACTACTTAATAGTAGTCTCAAAACCTAGGGAACAATATTTGCTGAGAGAAATAATAATTGTATTGCCTAGCTAATTTACATTTCTGCCCAAAGAAGTGTCCCAAGATTTTTGTTTGTCAAACATTATTATTTGTGAGGTACATTTGTCCTTTTGATACAATCATAAATATAGAGAACGATCAAAGAAAAAGTAATGTGTTAGGTATACTCTTACTTCTTGAATGTAAAGCTTAAGCATTACATAATCCACAAAATATATCCTCTGATGAATATGTTTTGGATTGAAGTTAAGGAGAATGGAAGAAGATAAAGGAAAGGTTTTCATTTATATTTTTTTAAAACTTCTATATTGATTTTTAGGGAGAAAGGAATGGATAGATTTTCAATATTAAGATAATTAAGTAATTTCTTTTACCTTGAAAAGTAGACAAAACGGAGAGAAACGGAATTTCATTAATTCAATTAAACCTTTGTAATACCAACGTCTAACTTAAAACGCATACATAAGATAGCCAACTCAATAAAAAGATATTAGCACAATACAAACTTAATATTTTTTTTATCTTTCTCATCAATTATAAAAAAGATTTATATATATACAATAACAAATTTAAGTATATAGTGCAAGATATGTTATACTAACAGGTAGCTTGCTTTGTTTTTCAAATTATACAAATCTTTCTTTTTCTCTTCCTTTATTTCTGTTTGAAGTATCTATAATCTTGGGCATCTTTTGGCTTTTATAAAAGCAAATGTCTTATAACTCAATAATTGTAGAATTGGGCATCAATTATTATTAGTCAATGAATAGTTGGGAATTGGGACATATTCATCAGCTAATTATATCAGCCACCCTTTATTTGCTAACCTTTGAACTGTTAAGTGATTGGATTTAAGAATATTGGAAGGAGACGCTTTCTCTTTTTCTAACACAAAAAAGAATCATTTGTAACTACTTTGCTTTGGCTTGAATATTGAACTGAGCAAGAAATGGTGGGGAATGAGAACCCATAATATCAGAAGTTCATAACAACCTCTAGTCACTATTATGAAGAATTGAAGAGTACTGAAGCCCCATTTCCTGAAAAGCAAATATCATTACTCTATAATATGTGCTTGGGCCATATTAATTGATTATTAGCCACTTTAGAATCTATTTGATGTGACTCTATGGTTTTTTCACTTTGAGTCCGCGTCAAAAATTATTTATATTCGATAGCCAAAAAATGTATAAAATTTGTATAATTTTTATATATAACATACAAAATGTATATATATACAAAAAATATATATATTTCAGCTATTTTTTTAGAGCGGCTATACAGTGTTGTTTTTCCATTGACTCTCTCCCTATCTCATCCCACACCACTATTCTCTGTTAATTCTTGAAATATCACTTCCCTTTCGATATCTACTAAACTTCATGTTTTTATTACCTAAAACTACTTTTAAACACTTTTTATCAATTTATTAGATATTTCACTTATATCAAAGAAACTCAACTGTTTATATATAGCTAAATATATCTCGTCATCAATTAAATAAAATGATACTTATCAAAGTTTATATCAAAATCATTTTTCTAATGTTGATAACAACAACAACATACCGAGTATATTCTCAATAGGTGGGGTTTGAAGAGGGTAGTCTTTACGCAGACCTTACCCCTACGTAATGAAGGTAGAAAAATTATTTCCAGTAATTTTTTTTTTAACGTTGATAAACAACTATATTTGGAAACTACTCCACCAAGAAGGCCATAGGACCCATTTCCAATTGGGCCCCAAAGCTGGCATAAAAGGCCCCACTGAGAACGGGGATCTTTACACAATTATCTGGTCGGATTCACTGTTTATTCTTTCGAGCTGGTATATATAAATCATATATCGTCTATATATAAGTTATATTCATATTATACATGAATTATATATATATTATATATTTATTGGTTACTTTTAATTTAACTCTTGTATAGACTGCTATTTAGGTTAATTTTTCAAAGTCTTAAGACTTAAAAACAAGAGGAAGTTGATAAATAGTAGCACCGTACTTCAACTGCAACAGATCGCACCGTCCGTCAACTGCCATTGCTTTTCTTCTCACAGTTCCTCCGTGTTGTTGACTGTTTTGCATGGCTACGACCAGGGGCGGAGAAGTCTTTTGGCTACGGTTCGATCGAACCCAGTAGTTTTGGTCCAAACCTTATATTTGTTTTAAAAAATTTATTGAATATACATAAATTATTAAGTTAGAATCCAGTAACTTAAAAAAAATTGAATCATAAATCCATAAGCTTTAAATCCGGAACGGTAGCCGCAATACTTATTGCATGCTTCTCATACGAATATATATCAGAAAGAGCGATTTGACTGCTTTTATTTTATGGTAGAAAAAATTAACAAATGGAATAGGAGATTTGTTTCAACACCTTTAATGTTTACTTAATTTGTGTAAACATCTCAACCAGACACTTGGCCACTAAGAATAACACAGAAATTTCTGTCTCTTTTTCTTTTTTCTGTTTTAAGCATGACCATGAAAGTGCAACAAATTAAATATTTATACCGAAGATAGTGATAAATATTATTACCATAAAAAAAATTTGATCGTGCAATTTTCTGAAGTGACCTTATTATTATCCTTTTATGTTTGGAAGAAGGGGATCCACTATCCCGTAATAATAAGCTAGTTGTAATGAATCGCACTGAAGGACAGACTGGGCATAGGCACAGCAACAGGGTAGTGCGTCCACCAAAATACCCTGACAATTTTGTGATCCCTATCAAGGACAACGCTGCATATTCCGTTAGAGATAATGCAACAACAGAGAAGGGCATATAAGGAGGAGTCTACTATATAAATGGGCAGCACGGGCGGAGCTACAGTTGTGGGTGCGGGTTTGGGCGAACCCAGTGACTTTTTTCGAGATCTTGTATTTGTATTGAAAGATTTACTACATTATATATATAACTGCCGAACTTAGTAACAAAAGTGGTCTGGGTTCAATGGTAAGGGGGGTGGGTTCGCTGTGAGACACCCGAGTTCGAATCCCTCTGTAAGCAGTGTGTTATTATTATTTTTATAATATTTTTAGAAAGCACAAACTAAATGAGTAAAGGACGACGTTTTCCCAAACAACTCCAACGACAATTCCTCTTACTTTCCTCTAAACTAACATTTTTAATAGTTTTTTTTTTCTAATAAACAAAAGAAAAAACTCTAAACAAAAAGTAAAAAACAGACGCCTTCCAACTCCAAACAAGGACAAACGAAAATCCCAAATCAAAAAAAAAAAAAACTAGGGTTCCTCCGCCTCTGTCTGTGACCGTGTGACTGTCTCTATTGACCGATTTTTGCTGCTAGTTGCCACCACTTTCTTCCTTACAAGTTAGACCCTTCTTCCTTCTTTAATTCTTCTTTTATGATTTTTTTCTTCATGTTTTTCTCTTATATATTATATTTGATAATTTATACAAAATTTGATTTTTAATCATTGATTCTAGGGTAGCCAGAGGCGGAGCTAGAATTTGAAGTGTATGGGTTCTAAATTTTAAGATAAGACGATGACCAAAAACCAATATACAATAACTAGTTGACTAAAGAATGAGTATCGATATTTAATAAATATTTAAAAAGTAACGAACCACACAAACACAATATATGAATATAAACATTATCATTTCAATTGCACTCGACGACTTGTCATGTTTTGAAAACGATCAATGATCGCATCATTAGGTACACTTTCAAATACTTCGTCCTCTATATAACAAACTAAACAATCATTCAAAAAGTCATCACCAATCCTGCTTCGCAAGTCATTTTTAATAAATTTCATTGAAGAAAAAGCCCTTTCGACCGTTGCAGTAGCCACATGTAATATCAAACTCAGCTTCACAAGCAAATAAACAAGTCCCCATGTCTTGTGAATATTTGTTTTGACCATTGTCTTCGAGAGATCGCCAAGCTCTTTCAAGTTAGAGAATGCATTGTCCATTTCTCGCACATAGTCAATATAGTTGTCAAGCTCACGACTAAGATCTTCAAGCTTAGAAGCAGTGAACTCATTTGGATAATATGTAGCAAGTTTCATAATCTTATTTTTATCATAACTTACAAAAGAATCATCGGGATTCAAACTAGCCATACCAAGAAGAAGATCAGTATTCACTTTACTAAAACGACTGTTAAGCTCCGAAAGTTGCAAATCAATAGCAGCACAAAAAATATCTACATGCAAATAATAAAAATATGTAACAGTTGAGCTTTTATGCTTAGACTTTCCAAGACCATACTTCTCATCCATTTTTGGGATCACAATACCATTTTATCACAAAACAAAGAGACATCTTCCATCAAAGAATTCCAAGTAGGTGATACTTTCACAACGGATGATTTTAGAGGTTGGAATAAAGGTTTAGAAAGGCTTAAATCACATGTGGGTGACATGAATAGTGTTCATAACCGATGTTTTAAGATGATGCTAGATTTAATGAACCAAGCACAATCCATTCTAACTTCGTTGGACAAGCAATCTGGAAAAATTAAAAGTGAACATCGAGTTCGCTTGAATGCTTCAATTGATGTAATAAGATATCTTATGAAAGAAGGAATGCCTTTTTGGAGCCATGATGAGAGTATAACTTCTACAAGAAGAGGCCATTTTTTAGATCACTTAAAATGGTATGCAGATAGGAAGAAAGATGTGAAAAATGTGGTATTAGAAAAAGCTCCAAAATATAACATCATGACTTCTCCTGAAATTCAAAAAGATATTGTGAATTCTTATGCAAAAGAAACGATGAAAGCAATTATTGAAGATTTGAATGGGGATTTTTTTGGAATATTAGTTGATGAGTCTAAGGATGTCTCTCATAAGGAACAAATGGCTCTTGTTATGCGCTATGTCAACAAGGAAGGTGAACTTATTGAGAGATTCTTTGGTCTTGTTCATGTTAAAGCTACTACTACACATGCATTACAAAAAATAATATATTTTTTGCTTTTACAACATTTATTGAGTTCATCTCTAATACGGAGACAAGGGTATAATGGAGCTAGTAACATGCAAGGAGAAATTAATGGTCTTAAAACTTTGATTCTGAAAGATAATCCTTTGGCATATTGCATACATTGCTTTGATCATCAATTGCAACTGACTCTTGTAGCGGTTGCAAAGAAACACCATGAGATAAATAAATTTTTTGACATTCTTGCTAATGTTTTGAATGTTGTTGGAGGTTCTTATAAGTGTAGGGAAATGCTTAGAGATGATCAAGCTGAAAAATTAGATGAGTTATTAGTGCTTGGTGAAGTACATACAGGAAGTGGATTAAATCAAGAACTTGGGCTTCAAAGACCAGGTGATACCCGTTAGGGATTACACTTTAAGACATTGTGTAACTTTATTTCTTTATTCTCATCAATTGTTCATGTACTTGGAGTTCTTTCAAATGAGGGTTCAAATTATTAGGAGAAAGCACTGGCAAAAAGTCTAGTGGAAGATATAAGATCTTATGAGTTTGTGTGTATATTACATTTGATGTTAAAATTATTGGCAATTACATATGATTTGAATATGGCTCTGCAAAGAAAAGATCAAGATATTGTTAGTGCTATGAAACTTGTTGATTTCTCAAAGAGGCAATTGCAAACAATGAGGGAATCTAAATGGAATTCTTTGATGGAAGATGTCTCTTTGTTTTGTGATAAAAATGGTATTGTGATCCCAAAAATGGATGAGAAGTATGGTCTTGGAAAGTCTAAGCATAAAAGCTCAACTGTTACATATTTTTATTATTTGCATGTAGATATTTTTTGTGCTGCTATTGATTTACAACTTTCGAAGTTTAACAGTCGTTTTAGTGAAGTGAATACTGATCTTCTTCTTGGTATGGCTAGTTTGAGTCTCGATGATTCTTTTGCAAGTTATGATAAAAACAAGATTATAAAACTTGCTACATATTATCCAAATGAGTTCACTGCTTCTAAGCTTGAAGATCTTAGTCGTGAGCTTGACAACTATATTGACTATGTGCGAGAAATGGACAATGCATTCTCTAACTTGAAAGAGCTTGGCGATCTCTCAAAGACAATGGTCAAAACAAATATTCACAAGACATGGGGACTTGTTTATTTGCTTGTGAAGCTGAGTTTGATATTACATGTGGCTACTGCAATGGTCGAAAGGGCTTTTTCTTCAATGAAGTTTATTAAAAATGACTTGCGAAGCAGGATTGGTGATGACTTTTCGAATGATTGTTTAGTTTGTTATATAGAGGATGAAGTATTTGAAAGTGTACCTAATGATGCGATCATTGATCATTTTCAAAACATGACAAGTCGTCGAGTGATTGAAATGATAATATTTATATTCATATATTGTGTTTGTGTGGTTCGTTACTTTTTAAATATTTATTAAATATCGATACTCATTCTTTAGTCAACTAGTTATTGTATATTAGTTTTAGGTCATCGTCTTATCTTAAAATTTAGAGCCCACACATTTCAAATCCTAACTCCGCCTCTGATGGGCAGGAGACTAGTATGTAGAGAGGATGCAAAAATGAGTCTTGTCTTTTATCTTTACTATAGGTTTTGTTAGTTCTGGAACCTCCCTCTTTCTGCTAGTTTTATTTAATTTCTTCTTTCATTGTCGCTGCTAATACTCAAATCAGTAGAGGATCCATTGAATCTGTAATCCTTTGGTTCAGAGTAATATTAGTTCATACTATATGGTGCTCTCGTTGAACCTCCTCTCCAAATAGGTGACCCTCCGATGACGCGCTTAAAATCGTTGGACATCGAAGTAGCTCAGATTAAGGACCAGCTCGTTTTGCATTTGCACAACTTCGATGCTATATCGATGACGTTGTCTGATATCTAGAGTCAGCTACAAATTTTGACGCGGGGAAAATAACAGCAACCTCCAGATGCTCCGACCACCGCAAATCACCCTAGTTCCTCCACTATCGCCGCTACGTCTTCCACCGTAACACCACCTCCCACCTCTATTGCCCTTACAATACCAGTTCTACCACAAAATACCCCACAACCTCAATATCAAACACACTACCATCAACATACACCTGCATACCCCCAAAATCCCCAATACACTAACCAACCCCAATATAGTCACCCAAGCTAGTACAACCACCAACCCCAAAACAACCAACAACCCTTATACAATCAACAATACTACTTTTTGCCATAAAATCACTATGGCCACCAACCACTCTCTCCCACTCAACCATATTATCAGCCGCCGACTTATCCCCATTTTACTCCGCCATTTAGCCCCAACCTAGGGCCACCACCATTTTCACAAAACATATTCGACCCTTTTCGCCGTACCAAATCGAACACGATTGACATACCCAAGTTCGATGGTTCACACGCTGAGAGTTGGGTATTTCAAGCAAATCAATACTTTGATTTTAACAACATCTTTGAGGAACAACACCTGAGTGTTTGTCTATTTTATTTGGAAGGGGAAGCTCGTGAATGGTATCGTTGGATGCACAGGAATCACCAGATTTATAGCTGGGATCAATTTACTAGAGCCTTGCTTGTTCGTTTTGGCCCTAAATCGTTGGAAGCACCAGAGAGTTTATTGGCAAAACTGCAAATGACATCGACGGTGAAAGACTATTTGACTCAGTACGAGAATTTGGCTAATCAATCCACTGATGTGGCCCCGTACATGCTACTCCATTGTTTCACCTCTGGTCTCCGACCCGATATTAAGAGTGAAGTCCTTTACTTCAGGCCCAAAGATTTAAATGAGGCTATCAGCCTCGCTATTCTACAAGTGCAGAAACTTTCAAGTCTAAATGCTTCTCCCAAGCCCACTTCTTCCTTCTGGCCCAATGTCAACTCTTACACCACATCTCTTCCCAGGTCCAGCTTAACTCTTTCCCCAAACTCCACCCTTTTTTCCCCAAACGAGTTACTCATCTACCCAACACCTCTGCACTACCAGCAACCACAATGCCGACAGTCGTGATCCCAGGGCTAGGTCATATACCCTACAAGTAATGATCTCCAGTGGAGCTCCAACACAAATGCGACCTCAATCTTTGCTTTAATTATGATAGCAAATGGGTCAAGGGTCACTGTTGCACCAAACCGCCGCAATTATTTCTTCTCATCTCTGACGAAGAACATTATGACCCTTCGGTAGGTCCTCCTGATAATCCTTTTGTTGAATCAACAAAAGAATCACAACCACTTGAGGATGACCCTATCGCATCTATTAGATACATGGCTTTATCTGGGGGGCCAAATTCCGACCACATTAGGATTCACAGGCTCTGTGCATGGGAACGCCGTTCAGGTCCTTTTGGATGGGGGTAGCACTCACAATTTCATACGCCCTAGAATAGCCAAATTTCTTAAGCTCCCAATTGAAGATTCATTCGAATCTTCGGTTATGGTTGTAAATGGAAGTATCTTGAAATTTTTGGAAGTCGTCAAGGCCTTGTCTTTAACAATTCAAGACTACACTCTTACAGAGGACTTCTTCGTCATTGAGTTCGCAGGTGCTGATGTTTTTTTGGGTGTAATTTGGCTGGCAACTTTGGGCCGCACAGTTACTGACTATGCCACTCGGGTCTTTGAGTTCCAGTACAAAGGTCAACAAGTCACTTGGACCGGCAATGCTGGACCAGTTGTGGAACAAGTCCAATTGCAGGCACTCTGTCGGCTCCAATCCACAAACTCTATTTCTTGTTTCTTCCAATTACAACTAGTGCCGCATACATCTTCTTCTACCACTGACCTACCACCTGACCTCTATAACCTTCTTGATGCATATTATGATATCTTTGCTCAATCCGCATCCCTACCTCCCTCTAGACCATAAGACCACTGAATACCTCTCTTACTAGGGTCGACACCCATTAATGTGCGGCCATATCATTACCCCTATTTCCAAAAAACAAAAATAGAACATCTCATTGCTGAAAAGTTACACTCAGGTATCATACGACCAAGTTCAAGTCCGTACTCATCCCCTGTTTTGCTCGTTCGCAAGAAGGATGGTACTTGGCATTTTAGTGTTGATTACCAGGCATTGAACTCCATCACTATCAAGGATCGATTTCCAATTCCTACCATTGATGAACTATTCGACGAGTTACACTGTGCTTGTTGGACTTACTTGCTAGGTATCATCAAATCAGAGTTCACCCCCATGATATTAAGAAAATAGCCTTTCGCACGCACGAGGGCCATTATGAATTCATTGTTATGCCTTTTGGTCTGTCCAACACACCATCTACCTTTCAGGCTACTATGAATTCCATTTTTAAGCCATTTCTTCGCCGATTCGTACTCGTCTTCTTTGACGATATTCTGATATACATCAATTCTTGCTATGCTCATCTTCAAAACCTTGAATTGGTGTTTAACCTGCTTCACCAACACACTTTAGTTGTCAAATGCTTCAAGTGCAAGTTCGGACAGACCTCCATTGACTATCTTGGCCATATTATCTCGGCGAAAGGCCTTCATGTCGACCCCTTGAAAATCGAAGTCATCAATGAGTGGCATGCTCCTTCTTTTGTCAAATAGGTACGAGGATTTCTAGGTCTTACTGGTTATTATCGTCGCTTTGTCAAAGGCTATGCCCGATTAGCATCTCCACTGGCGAATATTCTAAAAAAGGATATTTTTCGGTGGACTGAGGTCGAGCATGCTGCTTTTCTCCGCTTAAAAAATGCTTTGAGCACTGTCTCTATGTTATGTTTGCCGAACTTTCAAAAGGTTTTTTTGGTGGAAACTGATGCTTCCGGAACCGGCATAGGAACAGTGTTGTCTCAAGATCGTCACCCAATTGCATTTTTTAGCCAGAAACTCTCTCCTCGCATGCAAGCAGCATCCACCTATCATCGCGAAATGTTCGCAATCACTCAGGTTGTACAAAAATGGCGTCAATATCTTTTGGGTCACAAATTCTTAATCTTGACGGATCAGCAACCTCTTAAGTCCCTCACAAATCAAGTAATCCAGACCCCTGAACAATAACAGTGGCTTCGCAAACTCATTGGCTATGACTTTGATGTCATTTATAGACGTGGAAAACTCAATTCTGCTGCCGATGCCCTTTCCCGCATCCCTACTTCTCAGTTTTTCTCCATTGCTTTCACTGAATTTGCCTTGCTTGATAGGCTGCAAACTTTGAACAAGTATGATCCTACATTATTGGAGTTTCGATGTCAACTTGAGAATGACCCTACTTCCCTTCCCTACTTCTCCTTCCACGAGGGACTCTTTTTCTATTGCAATAGGTTGGTAATTCCACCGGACCAGAATATTCTCCATCTGTTACTTTATGAATTTCATGCTTCAAAAATCGGAGGCCATTCAAGGATTGCT